GTATGCAACCCTCCCCACATGCACATGCACACCAACACCAAACACCTTATCCCAGCCCCACCCCAAAGCCCTCATCCTCCCAACCCTGATCCCCCTCCCACACTCAGAACATCTTGGCCACATCCCTGCCACAGATCTTCCATGTGCAGAATCAATTTTGCTATGTGTACCAAGATGGAGGTGATGTCATGCTTCATCTCTATATTGGTGCATATAACAAAATTCATTCCACATATGGAAGTAAAAAATTAGAGGAAACACTGCCCACTGCATCAGCTTAACAGTGTATGGCGTACATGGATTGTCGCTAGGTTTTCGAAGCCATCAGAAGCCCCATAGTGACAGCTGAATCAGTACAAGCACTCTTAGGTTGTCTACACTGCACTGTAAATTTGAAATAAGATACACAATTTGCGCTCTGCAAATTGAATACTTATTTTGAGTTTATCTCAAAATCGGCTATTTCAAAATTTGGTGTTGTCTGCACAGCACCAAATTTCAAAATAAAGTGCTATTTCGATACAACCCTTCACCCTCATGCAATGAGGGTTACTTGGATGCCAAAATAGTATGCCTGTTGTTTAGAAAAATATTTCAAAATAAGTGGCTTGTGAAGACGCGGGGTAGCTTAATTTTGAAGTTCATGTGCCCTAAGCTACAGTAGCTGAGCTGTATCAGTGCAGCTGTGTTGCTGCAGTGCTACAAATGCAGATATGCTCTTTGGTCTTGTCTACCCTGCCACTGTACTGCTCTGTAACTTTCTTTCCCAAGGGTGTGAGAATTTCAGCGGTTACACATTTACACAAATACATGATTTTTAACATCGCTAGCTAATAATAGAGGAAGAGATTTCTAAAAGCAATAGGAAAAAAACAAGTGATTGGGTAGGCGTAACTATTATATTGTTTGAGTAGATGTTCTCCTCCCTGTGTCTACTGTCACCCTGCCCCAAATATGACAATCTACTGAAGGTATCGTAAGCAATGATATGTGGGTTATGGCAGGCATGGATCTATATTTTACACTAGTGTCTGTTAGGATTCCCCTGGAGTCTTTTCACTTGGTTTATCCGGAACATCTTGTCCATTTCTGGGGGAACACGATGGCACCCTTGTGTTGACCATTTTTTAGAAAACCTTGATAAATCTTTTTTACAAAATATGCCTTGTAAGGTATCACTTGAAAGCTACTCATTTGCTGGTCATTATTATCCTAGTAAAATGTATGTGGCAACATTGTATGTAAAATTATAAGATTCTACTTTACAATATTGCTGAGACCTGCACAAATTTTAAAAGAGGAGGCAAAAGGCAAATTGTCGTCTTAGGTGTCTATAAAATCAAATGGACTGTTGTCTTGGTTAAGTGACCATGGTTTGACAGGAGGAAGGGTGTGAGTGAGAAATTTATATGTTGGCAATGGAAAAGCTGGAGTTCCTGTGTAATTGGACTGGCTGTTGGCTGAAACCCAGTTGGAGATCGTTCTCAGAGGAGGAAAAGATATAAAAATGAGGAACAGATGCCCTGAATCACCCTCTTCCCTCATCTCTACTCGCTGCATTATTGACAGTTAAAGCAAGGAAAGCTTTGTTGAACTGAAGAGGGGTTCTGGCTAAAATAAATCCATCCAGGTTGTTGTGAGAAGGTAGTAGTGAGAGCTTTTTGCTTTACATTCACTGAGCTTGTTAAGTTAGATGTATGTGTTTTGCCTTTTATTTCTTTTTAACCAGTTCTAACTTTATTATCTCTGTACTTGTAATTGCTTTAAATCTATCTTTCTGTAGTTGAAATATGCTTGTTTTGTCTAAACCAATGTGTTTGGGAACTTCGATTTGAGATAAGATTTGTGCATGCATATCCTATTCTGTCATAGAAATGATGGAAGTTTATCAGTTTTTGTGCAGAAGGAAAGAGCTATGTTTCTGGGGATAAGAGCCCATTTCTGGGGATAAGTCTGAAGTTGGGAATTTGCTGGTATCGCTCTCTCATTATAAATCAGGAGTAGCTCGCTGTAGCTCTCTTGGGCTATGTCTACACTCGCGGCTTCTTGTGCGAGTAAAATGCAAATGAGGCTAAGCGTGGAATATCGCCAAGCCTCATTTGCATACCTAATAAGCCACCATTTTTTTCAGAAAAGGCTCTTGCGCAAGAAGGAGCGTCTACACGGCCCCTTCTTGCGCAAAAAGGGGCAGTGTAAACAGCTATTTCTGGTAGTCTGTGTGCAATAGTTGATAGTGGTTTCCATCGAGTTTGTCTCAGATCTCAATCCCAGTTAACCTCCATGTTGATTGTCGTGGGCTTCCTCATCAATGATACTTTTCTGTGCATCCCCCACCATTGCTATAACAGCAGTGGGAACATTGAGTAGACAAGATACTGACACACTTTCCGCTGTGTCATGTAATTTTGTTCAAGGTAGGCCTGGAAACATCTGGTAATTAAAGATTCAAGTAGCCAGTCTGTTTGCAGTGGTGGAGCTGCGAAGCAGAACTAGGTATGTCTCCATAGCATTTTGGACTGAACAGTAGAAAGCCTCCCAGCACAAGTTGGCCACTGGAGTAATGGGGGCTCACACTAGCACTTGAAAAATTGCTAGGGTTGCCAGGTGTCTGGTTTTGAACTGGACAGTCTGGTTTTTGAGCTTTCTGTTTGGGAAACAAATTGAGAAAATACTGGACATATAAATGTCTGGTATTTTCTAATTAAATATGTTTTATTAATATGATGAGTATCAGTACGTAGTTGCATACTGCCTGGCTGGTAGGTGCGCTCACACTGCGTAAGTGTGTCTAGCAGACAGGCAGTACACAATGCAGTAGATGAGGGTGGGGCCGGGTCAGAGCAGGATGGAATCCCCGAGGCCGGACTCGCCCGTGTGCTCCACCAGCACTCTGGGATTTGCGTGGGCCTGGGACAACTTGGCTCCCCGCCGGCAGGTTCTCCCCCACTCTTTGCCCCCGGCCAGCCCCACTGCCCCCGACCTTCTCCCAACTAGCCCTGTTCCCTGCCGGCTGGTTCCCCACTACAATCCCTCCCCCCAGATCTCCCCTGGCCAGCCCCGCTCTCCCGACCCCCTCCTCGTGTGCCATAGCCCCACCCCATCCCTGTCTGCA